GCAAGTAGTGGCTCTGGACCCTTAAATCCTTCTTTCCCCAAAGGTCAATTTCACACTTGTGAAAAATGTCACTGCTGGACACAGACATGGTCTTCTATCCCCACAAAAAGACACAACAAGGCAATACAGAATGATCCATCCACACCTTCTCCACCTCAACAGACAGCTGGGACAACTGTGGGAGGGACAGCCCAAGGCTTGATATGCCACAGATATCATGTGGCAATGAGTTACAGTCACAGCTGAGGAGGAGAGGCTGAATTTGTGACCTGGAGATGAAAGGTTCAGATGCTGCGAATTATTTATTATTTTTCATCCTCCTCCTTCATATTTAATATGTTTTGCTAATGAACTTCAAGTCTCAGGGCATGTAGTTACTAATGTGATATACATTCACATGGATTTGTCATCAAAATTTATGGTAATCTACAACAACATACGTTCTCATCCAGTGTAAATCGGTGATATATGCCAGCAGGGAGGGTTATCATGTCTCCTTTTTCCATGGAAATCCGAATCCATTTGTCATCCTTGTCTCGAACATCAAAATAGCCAGATCCCTCCAGGATGTAGCGAATTTCATCGTCGAGGTGTAAATGTTCTTCATAAAATGTTTTTATCTAGGAATAGCAAATATTTTGGAAAACTACTGAACATAGGAAAGCTGCAAAGAAAACTGGCAGAAACAGAGAGAAGCTGAGAAAGGCTTTCAAAGGGTAACTGTGTTTTAACTAACAGAGGAGACCAGCATGGGTAAGATGGCCAAGCCAGCCAGCCAGCCAGCCTCTGTCTCCAGACACATCTAAGCAGGCTTCTACATTCCCTTTGGAGGGCAGGAACTCACTCCTCTGACAAGAAACAGCAGCTCTAGCTGTACATAACCATTCTCTGAATAACAGTGATGCTTACACTTATTTGAAAAAGAGACAGGTAAAACATCACACTGCAGGATTTGGTTCTTGCGCTTGTTCAGTTCGATCATTTTGTGCTTTTTCCCCCCCAGCGCGCAGCACCAAACAGACACAGATTATCCCCTCTCTTTTACACTTACGTAGAGCTGAATTAGCGGCACAGGGTACTACTACTGTCTGTGAAAATGCAGTCACTGCCAAACACGGCCCCTCTACAGCAATCTGATGAAACAGTGTGTCATGCCTGCCCACACACAGTGAGACCCAGCTCCAGGCTCTCTTGTCCAAGACAGTGGCAGCAACATTCTCTTTCTTATGGAATGCTGAATTCTTTGTACATGCACAGAATACAAAGCACATTTTAAAAGTTCAATTAATGGAGGCCTGGGAGGTTTAGTGCACAGTGAGCAGAGCAATGCCAGGTACCATCACCACCTGCTCAGGTTTGGATGATATTTAGCCATACACTTCTGCAGATGTCCTTGAGCCAGAAGTGATCCAGCACAGCAGGATGAGCAGAAGTCCCTACGTCTTGTAAAGAATGACCCATCTTTCTGTCAGATAGAGCCTACCTAATGAGTTACTACCTAATTCACCTTCTCACCAAAGCAAAACCACTAGAACACAATGGGCTTAAAACAAACTGGTAAATGGAAATTTAATGAAAATATTAAAGTGTCATTGGGTTGCTGTCCTCAAGACAGAGCAGCAAGCCAGCAGCACCTGGAGGCTGGGATGAGAAAGCTCCTTTTAGGAGGCTCACCTGAACAGTGTTGAGCTGCTATGAAATTGTCAAGGTACGAGTTCCCCAAGGTAAAAAATGTTCTTGTACAAGGAACAATTCCATGGGGTTAATACTCACTTAAAAAAGATACATTATGCAAGCAGCCATTAGGATGTAAAAGCCTTCAAAGCCCAGGCCCAGCTGGCAGCCACTTGCCTTCATCCCAGAGAGGCTCTCTGAGGACAGGTCAGCATTGGCAGAACTCTCCTGGTAGGAATCTTAGTTTTGAAATGACAATGATGGAAATGATCCTCAAAACCTTTGAAGGCAATGTACAGAAGCAAAAGACCTCTACTATCTTTAAAACGATATCAAAGGCTCTTTTTTAATGTTCAGGACTTCGGTACAGGATGTATTTTAGACGTGGAAGCCTCATCCCCGTGTCCCGCTGGGCTGTGCAGGTGTCACACGCTGGCCGGCGCGGAAACCCGCACTGAGAGCCAAGTTTCGCGTACCTTTTCCTCATAATTTGGAAGCTTGTCTTTATGTATGGTCACTATATCCATCCAAGAATAATTTTCTGCTCTCCGAATCTCTTTCAAGCACGGATCAGTCTCATAGTTATCAGCATCCAACTAAAAAAACAGGCACAGGAGAAAAAAAAATAAAAAAAGGCGTTCAGACGCCATTGCTAAAGGCGGATCTCAGGCACTCGTGGGAATCCCGAGGTGCCGGCAGTGCGGCACCGGCCGCTGCAGGGGGCGCAGCCACAAGGACACGGGGTGCCTGCACCCGGCCCCGCCCGGCCCCGCTGCGTCCTCCCTGCAGGCAGCCCGGCCTGGCCAGGCCAGGCGCTCCCCGCACGGCTCAGCCCGACCCGCGGCTCCCCGCCGTACCCTGCGGTACCAACCCCGCAGTGTCACCCCTGCCGTACCCTGCGGTACACCACGCCGAGGCGGCGCAGCTGCTCCAGGCTGACGGCGCGGTTGGGCCGCTGCCGGTGCGGCGTCCGCTGGTCCTCCTGGGACTCGTCCATATACCAGGCCTCCACCATCCCGCCGCCACAGTGTGCGCGGGGCCGGGCCGCCAGCGCGTCCCGCCCCGGCGGGGCTCCAGGCCCGGCAGCGAGCGGGACGGGCCCGCCCCGCGGCCTGGGGCAGAGCGGTACAGGGGCGCCACGGGCCGCTCCAAACACACTGAGCACGGGGCGGTGCGGAGCTTTCGTTTGAGGGAACAGCTCCAGGCTGAGAGCCGAGAGTCCCCGAGAGACAGGCCGGGGCTCGGGGCTCCTCACCCGCACCAGCCCCCGGGGTAACCCGGGTGAACGGCCATGGTGTTTGCATCGTGTCGGCCCTCGCTGTAAATGCTCTGACGGAACTTACTGGTACGGCTCAGGCTTAAAGGCCGGCATTGCAACCCCACAATATGGAAAAAAAAGAAATTAGGTAAAAAATAAAGAAAGTGGTAAGACATGCTTGCACAGATAACTTGTGTTGTCTCCATCCATGAAGATAGATGCTCAGCGTCCTCCCTGAGCTGGAGTGAACAAGACACCCTGGGGTGTGTCCCCTCCAGCCTCCACACTTCTGCATCTACCTGATCCTGTAGGGCAAATAAACCAAGAGCCAGCTAAGCACAATATAAGAATGGCCAGACAATTTAAACAATCTCTCCTTAGAATTTTTCTTCATAAAGAGAGTTTCTTACTTACCAAGGTGTCTCAACCACTACTATTCCAATTCTCATAAAAAGGTACCAGATCCCTTTAATGTATAGTATTTATGTTTAAGCACTACTGGTTATCAAACAGATACTCTATAGCAGCTGTGCTAAGGCACATGGAGGACAAGTAGGCATTTTGGGACAGCCAGCACAATATCATGGCTGCTAAATCCCAATATTGTCCTAAAGTTGCAGTTCTCTGAAAAGATGCCATCCTCTGCAGGCCCTCAAGCCCCTGTTAACTCCTTTTGAGAAGTACTATTTTTTTCCATCATTTAATCGGCCCTGATCTTGTAACCTTCCTCTTGCCTTTCTTCTGTCCTGAATTTCCAGAAGAATAACCATTCATATGAAATTGATATAAAACTCTGTCCTATTAGATTTTCTATTATAATCTACCCATTAGATTCAGGTAATCAAGTGGCCTAAATTCAGTATTACACAGTTATGATTTACCCACCACAATCTTGCAGGTTTTCCAAAGCTCCTGCTGAAAAAAAACCAAACAACCCCACAAAAAACAAAACCCAAAACAAAAGCGATTTCCATACAATAAACAGGATTTACTTGTTTAACATAATATGTAAGATAGGCAAGTTATTAGATACCTGATCAGGGTGATGGGTCTTTTCTTTGCAGCCAAACTTCTAGTAAATAGGTAATTGTGTGCATACATACAAAGAAGCAGAGGGGGCCCAAGCAGTGCCCTCTTTTACCCCTAGATGAGCTTCAATGTGCAGTTTTGAATGAGAGAAAAAAATAAAAATCCTCACTGACCTATTAACTACAGTTAATAGGTAGACAGTTTCTTCCTCCTCCTACAACCATGTGACTAAATATGTAAAACCCTCACATTTTGCCTCAGGAAAGATATTATAATGCATGAGAGCTATTAAGTAACAAACTTCTGCAGCTCTAACCATCTGTATAGAAATTAACAAATCCAAAAACATTTCAGTAACTCCTAGCTTAAACCCTACTATTCAGTGGTGCAAAGGTACCATACAGAAAAGTTGACACAGATAGCACAACAAATCTGTTTGCTTTTCCTGTACTCTTGCATAGAAAATAAACCCATTTTGATTACTGGTAATTACTCTCCAATTCAAGTGCACATTAGCCATTCCATTAATCTCATAATTGACTTGACAAAATGAAGTCAAACCCTTTAGAGCTGGACAGTATGGAGAAGCTTATCTTCTAGTCCCATTTCAGATGAAATGTCCATTTCTACCTTTGGGATAACACTGAAGAGAAACTAACAATGCTAACAAGAACCAGCATAAAAAAAACTTACTTAATGAAAACAGAAAGCCAGAGACGAAGAGCTTGGACATGATTCAGGTAGAGAGAACAGTAAAAATTCATTGTTCAAGTTTTCTTGTAATCTGGCTTTTTCTTAGTTCATGCTAGCCTGCAAAACAACATGATAAAAGAAAGCTACTGGTGCTGTAGCTGACACTGTGAGGCACACACAGGTCTCAGTGTTACAGGCCCATCTTAGAGCAGTTATTGCCAGTACCAGAATGCCAGAGCAGACAAATGGACATCTCTGTTAGGTGGTGACCTCCTACCAAATCAACCAACCCCAAAGTCTGCTCCAGATTTTGGGCTGCAATAAATACCTCTGCACAAAACAAAAACAAAAACAAAAACGAGTTTATTTAATTAAGAGGAAAATACAGAACACTTTGATTTCAAATTACTTCTTCAGAAGCCTGTCTGTAAGGTGAGTTCATAAGTACACAAGACAGCTAAAAGCACTGACCACAGCCTTTCCAATAGATGAAGAAAAAACAAATACTCAGTATCATCAACTAAATATTGTCTCAATTGTAAAACAAATGCAACAGAAGAAAATGTGGGGTTTTCCTTCCCAGAAGTTGGTTTATATTTAGTGCTTCAGGCCAGAAAGAAGTACAGCTCAAAGTTCAATTCCAAAACAATTTCAGCAGTTCAAGTTGTTGCTGTCATGTTAGGCCCTTTTCTCCCAGTGCAACAGTCTCTAGTCCCAGGCCATCAGCACTGTGGTTTACAAGCTCCTTCTCTTGCTAGTCTATCAGCTTCTTCATTTCCTTGGAAGCCAGCATGACCAGGAATATGCATCTGTCAGGACAAAATATATCAGTTTAGACATGGAAGAAACCAGGAATAAAGTAGATACATGAAATTTGATAAAGCAATGCTCTGTAACTGATAGTACAGGAGCACCTCCTCAGAGGTCCACACCTAATATTTAGCCCTTAGGTTTTCTTCCCAGAGATTTTCATTGTCTCTCTTCCTCTAGGGAAACTCTTGTCAAACTGTGGATATCATCTTTATGGGAATTAATTAAAAACATAAGGACCAGCTAACCTATCCTTTAAGAAATACAGACAACTGCTCCAATTCAAAATTCCCACCTTTCTGCATTCAGTGGTTAAACTGAGTTGATCTTTCCCCAAAAGCCAAAGTCCTCTATTCCACTTAAGGCCTTGGTACTTACAGCACTCACTTAGGATACATATAAAGGATATCAAAAGATCCTCTCAATTTTCAGATGTGTTAATTGTCTATCCATTAATCAGGAACTGAAAAAAACTTTATACCCTAAGCCCATCCTTGTCAGAAGCAAGGGTGGAGTAGGAAGGTGAGGAAGAAAATCAAGCTTGCTATTTGACAAGATCAGAGAGGGAATAAGCATGAAGTGGGTGTGAAGTGACATTAGATTTACATGGCAAGGTTTTGGTACCACGTGGGGAGCTGTAGGTGTGGATTCTGTGAAAAGACATGAGCAGTGCCCCTACGTGAGAGAGAGCCAGATCCAGACAGCTCCAAAAGGGACCCAAAGTTTAACACAGTTAAGCCCACCAGCAAAGCTGATGGCTCTTCTGTGAAAACATGTTTAAGAAAGGGTAAAAATGCAGCACAACAGCCAGAGAAAAGAGTGAGAATATGTGAAAGGAACAGCTCTGCAGACAGCAAGGTCAGTGCTGAAGGAGGAGGTGCTCCAGGCAGCTGAGCAGAGATTCCCCTGCAGCCTGTGGTGCAGACCATGGTCAGTCAGCCTGTCCCCCTTACAGCCCAGGAGGGCCACGGTGGAGCAGAGATGAGCCTGCAGCCCATGGAGGACTCTGCAAGCATACACTCCTCCTGAAACAAAATTTGTCCAACCTTTTCTAAGAGATTCAATTTTAAGAATTGTTCATAAAGGAGTATCTTTTAATTATGTAAAATATTCCCAAGAACAGCTGAACTTACTTAGTCTTTAAATTTTTATGCTTTCTCCTCAATAGAACATAGGAGTAGCTATAGAAAATCTAACCAGCCTGTAAGTTGCGCCCACCAACTCTGTAACACAGAGCAACATGAATACCTGCAATAAATTCCCATCAAAAAATTGTACATTAAATATCTACATGATCCTGTTTTCTACAGAGTAAAGACAGAAGCTGAGTAAACATGCCATTACAGGTCCAAAGTCAACTGTACACACATTTTCTCAAATCAGTGGCCTTATATCATAATTAGGCTAAAATTTAAGAGGCAAAGGAATATATTTCCCTGAAGTGTTAAGCACTGATATTAGAGGTTACAGAAAAATACATTCTACCAGAAATATCTGTATAGAAGTTGTTTTACTTCTTTACCAGAGAGCAAAACAATTTTAAAGACCTTCTCGTACTACATTTCCTTAGAAGAAATGCAGTTAAGGCACAGAAAACTAGAGCTGGTTTATTTGGGGTTACACACACTTAGTTTTCCCAGTTTAAAGACACTCATGTAATTCAGTTACTCCAACAAAGCAGCATCCTAAATAGTTCTGAAAAGCAAATACAGAAATTCAGCTATGACACAAAAACCAGTTATATTCTAAGGTTAGATTTCCAGGAACAGAAATTGCATCTACTAACACCACTAACAAACTAAAAATAATTATTGCAGGCATTTTCTAAGCAGTAATAAGAGATAGGAAACAAATACCAATATTCATTTAAATAATTGAAATACTGGTTCCAAGAATCTAGGTTATGTTGCTAATTTGCTTTAAATACAACAAGCAGCTTCTCTGTATTTGCAGTTTTACTTAAGGAAGTACAATACAATGCTCTACAAAAGTCTTAGTTATGATCACACTTTTAAATTTCTACCAGAACATTTTTAAAATGTCATTAAGAATACGAAACAAGGAACTTACCCACTGAATTTCTATGTCTTTTACTAGACTATCGAGTCTTTGAAAATCTTCTTTGTTTATTACACTTCCTCCTGAACTTGTTCTCCAGCCATTTGTTTTCCAGTTGTCAACCCAGCTCGTAATACCTGTGCAGAGGGGGTATCACCATAAGAGTGCTGTTAAAGAAGTCAGCAAGGATCAAGATGGAGCCAACAGCCTTTTAACAAGACATTACCTCTGTACAAAGTCTCAGGCAAAAACACTGGAGACAAAAGATAATTTTTGTTTGCTTCTCTGATGCTGTCTTTCAGGATTGTATTTTTTCATTATTACCTGAATTACCCAACCATTAAATTAAATACCTGTTTTTCCAAACAGATATTTAATTTAAAGACTACAGTCTTGTATATGCACTGTACACAAAGTATCAAATAAACTTCAATAAACTGAAGCTAAGGATTTGCTTGATGATACAGTAAACAAAGCCTACTGCTCACCAGAGAATTTTCTATATTACTCCTTAAGTAAGGATTTTTCATTTTTTTTTTAATATCTGTGCTGGTGTGGACAATTTAAGACATCCTTACTACTTTCATGACCTGAATCAAACAAGAAATCTCCAGTCTTGAACACAAAACCTCCTAAAAACCAAACTACATCCACTTGTACTTAACTACAAACCTCCTTCTTTGGCATTTTTAAATAATAATTCCTAGACACATCTACAAATACCTTTGCTTAAACAAGAATGGCATTTGCACTTCAGTGACCCAAAATGCAAAATGAAACTACCAGCAAAACCAAAGAGATTAAGACAAAAAGAACAACATTTAATTTTCAACCATAAGCTGTGCTAAGTTTTTGTTTAATGTTATTTCCAAAAAACCCCACAAAATCAAATCTCCCAAGTGATCTGGAAACAAACAAACATGTACTGCCTTTGTAAATTGAATAAAAAACAAACAAAGAAAACCCCATAACCAACCAAACAAAAATAAAAAACTTAGGCAGTTCCAGATTTTCACAGGAATAAAATCCGAAGATCTTGAGGAAAGAGGAAGAAGTTTTTTTCTGAAATTAAGTCTTATTGGCTTCTTCATATGGTACTTATAGAGAATAAAATTAGGTTTTCCAGGTCTTTTAATCTGAGCACATATCTCTGGCTACTCTTCCAGGGTAGCCTAAAAGCTTGGAAGCAAGAGAACTTGAATGTACTTCACAGATATGTGTGTGTGTGTGTGTGTGTGTGTGTGTGTGTTAAAAGCAGCCTCTCCAATACATGCCAAACAACAAAAACCCTACAGGTTACCACACCAACTTCCAAGTAATTTCCTGAGTACAGCCTTAACAACCTATCCATGAACAACTTTTTTTCTAGATTTTGTCACACTGAACACCTCAGGACACAAATCCTGGTGTTACTTCTGTCAGCATTTTCTATAACAGACGCTTCAACTCTACTTCCATTTTGTGCAGTTAGCAGGCAATGTCTGATACTCTGAAGTTTTTCCCCAAGCAGCCATAAGTTATGCACTGTCTTCCTTACATTCATCTCTCCAGGAATGTTCTGTGGGTCTTATGTAATGGAAAAGCATGCAGTGTCTTTAAAGATCAGGAAAATTAAAATCATTAACTTACCATTAATAGTAAACTTGCTATCAGTGTAGATTATTAACTTCTTGATGTTTTGACTCTTGGCTTGCTCTATTGCTTTGCAGGCTGCCTTAAGAACATTTCAAAACAACAACAGTTCAGAAAGGATTTTGGCCACATGGAATTAAGATACCAACAAAGTACCTGATGCTAACACAGAATGACATATATTACTGTAACCTCTCCACCAGTGGTTATCAACATGTTTTAGTGTAGAGGATCCCAAAATTGTGTATTACAGATGATTTTGATTTTTTATGATTCAGGCAAAGAAGCAGGCACTTAAGTTTCAAAAGCAAACAAAACCTCGTAATATTCTGATGTTCAACTCTGAGCTGAAGAAGTAGCTCTCTGACCCATTTTCTAACTATCAAGACCTCTATCAACACCAAGGCATTTTCTCCAAAACTTTGAGGAAGTACTCGTATCAGTTCCAACAGTCTGGATGCCATAACAAGTTGGGTTTTTTTGGTTTTTTTTTAGTGCTCTGAAATATTACAGGCAGAAGTGGCTGGGTGTCGATGTAGAACTGAAAAGTGACAAATCAGTGACAAATCTGACCACTGGCACACTAACACCACCTCTAAAATGAACTTTGAAGTTTTTAAGCAGATCAATTGCCTATTTCAGTTCATCTCCAAACATGGAGTGTGGGATAGCAGAAATACCATAATTAAGAGGAAATGAAAAGAGAAGACGAAACCGGCTGTTGTCAACAGAAGTTAGTCAGGAGCTTAGAATTGTTTTTTACATTTATCTAAGGATTATGATACTCTGATCCTGCCATCATAAGAAGCTGACTCTCAACCAATACTCAGCAGTCCTCACTCTAAGGTCTGAAACACACACATTAAAAATGCAAGAGAATCTATACAGAGTTGAGAGTGAGACTTTTCTAATGTAAGGCTGTTTAAATAGCTGTGCTTGGTGGCACTTGGAAATTCTCAAGGTGAATTACCTAGTTCAAAGCCAATAAAGACCAATAAAACTTGAAGATAACTATTTTTTGAAGTCATAACTGAATATTTTGCATACTTCTCAGAGCTCCATACTGGTTTTTGGAAACCAGAGCTAAAATAGTCCTGAAAGTGCAGCTGCAGGCTAACATGGAGAAGCATTTCAGGACATTTGCTACTTACATGGATTTCTGCTCTTTGATTAGTCTGCCGTCCAGGAAGTCTTTCACTGGTATTTCTGTGTCCAAAGAACAAACAGTAATTAGTTATTCCAAGTATTCAGAATGGTGTATAATTAAAGACATTAAAGACAAGAATATTATTTCCAGTTGATTTTTCTCAGAGAGGCTGCTTTCTCTGTTCCCCTCAATATCTCCTGACTCAGTCTCGTAACACTGTCATTATGAGTCTCAACAACAGAGCTTCATATTTAAAAGGGGGCTGGTATTGTAAATCATATAAAAACCAAACAGAATACATTAATTAAAAAAAAAACCCATTGAGCTACTTACAAAGGGTGGCCTGGTCCCCAGTAGACACCTATTCCAGCACGTGCCCTGTTACGTCCATTACTAGAGCAACAACCATCTGTATAAACAACTGCAAAGTCACCTACAAAAAAATTACCAAAATCAGCACCTCCTCAAAAACACTGACTATTTAGGATAGAAGAAATGTTTGCCAGTATACTAAGCCCCAAAACTTCCCTCCCCAGAGAGCCCTTCCAAAAGGTAACTGCAGAAGCCATGTGAATTAGCACTGCAGATCACCACAGCCACACTGCAGCTTGACACCCTCACTGCAGTCAAACCAATCAGCATCAAGAAGAACTTCTGCCCCAAGTCCCCTACTTTTCACTACAGTTCAAGTCTTCTTCAAAACTTCAAAGCTACATCAAATCTTTAGCCCAGACACATAAAATCACACCTATAACACTATGATTAAGCTATATATTTATACCAGTTAAAACCAATCAAAATTACACTGAAAGACAATGTGAACAAACAGATCATGGTTTGTGTTTTCATTTCAAAAAGAAATAATGGGCCTAATGCTGCCATATACAAACCTCCCTATAAGTTTTCTAATAGTTACACTTGTTTGTCACAGAGAATAAACAAATGAAAATAATTAAAGGAATGATCAAAGACCTCACCCATATATGAAAACTTATCTTCACTGACTGTTGGCATTGAGCACACTGAGTGTACTTCATCATGTTTCACACGCTTTGCAATCTGCTCTTCATTTGTAGACTGTTCATATGGCCTTTTACATGTACTGCAACACATGGTATTTAATTCTGGTTTCTCTCTCTGACTACCATTTTCTTGTGTTACAGCTGGAGGAACAAATGCTTCTGCCAAACAAAAAAAAAAAAGCAGAAGTTAGGAAGTTCAGCAGAATAAAATTTTATTTTATTTGAAATGACTGCTTCTAAAGACAACAGTTGTTCTTATTAGCAGTGTTAGCCCGTTATATGACACCCCACCCCCCCCAAACTACTACCGAGAAGAAATAAAATACTCCAGTCATTCATCCTAAATCAAACCGAAGAGGAAACAGACATGCAATGGCCCTTACACCTTAACATGTACACAGAGCAAGCAACGCTCTCCAAACACCCACAGAAACACTTTCACTGCGCTGGCACATCCATCCCCGTGTCCGGAGGCCATGGCAACGGCGCTGAGCAGGGGCCGGTGCCCGCGTTCCGGCAGCAGCCGCAGCGCCGGCTCAGCCGCCGTGCCTGCCCCGAGCCCCCGGCGGGACCCCCGCCCTCCTCCCCTCCTCTCTGCCGGCGGCGGGACGCCCTACCTGCCGGCTCGGGCTGCTGCTGCGGCTGCTGCTGCGGCCCCGGCAGGCCGGCGCGCACGAAGGCCCAGGCGTCCTTCTCGGTGGCGAACTTCTTGAAGCTGGCGGAGGGGAACTTGTTCACCTGCTCCTGGCACTCCGCCCTGCAACAGAGCGGGCAGCGGTGAGGCCAGGCCGGGCCGGGCGGGCTCCCCGCTCCACCGCGGCCCTTGCTCCTCGCTCACCAGGTGCGGTAGACGCCGGTCCGCCGGCCCTTGCGCACGGCGTAGAACATGGAGCCGGCCCTGGGCACCAAGCAGGAGTGGCTGAGCACGGCCACGAGCCAGCGCAGCATCGCACGGCGCCGCCGCCATCCGCGCCCACCCCGGCACCGCTGCGCCTGCGCGGCCGCCGCGCTCACGGCAGCGCCGGGGCCTCCTACGGGCCGCCAGAGAGGCCAAAGTACAAGAAAATCCCACAGCGCAGGGTTTTGTACGGATTGGCTTTTTTGTTTGGTTGGTTTTGTTCCCTCTCCCCGCCAATAATGGTGTTTTTAAAACCTAAATCAGCTGTTGTTTGGGGCATGAGGTCACAGCGGCTTTGCACAAGCCACCTCGTTCTGGAAGCCCCATTTCTAAAAGGCAAAGGAGACCTCTCAGGTGCGCTGACATGTTCAGCACGTCCGAGAGGCTGGAACTGAACAAGGTTGTTAAATTGGTTCTCATCCTGCTGCCCAGGCTCCTGGTGCGTGTGATCCAGCTGAGCCCTGCGGCGAGGTGGCCTCTGGATTGAGGAGAAACACCTTCACAGAATCGCAGGGTCCTTAGGGTTGGGAGGGACCCCTGGACATCATCTGCCATGGCAGGGTCAGCTGGTGCAGGTGGCACAGGAGCACGTCCTGGTTTTGAATGGCTCTGGAGAGGGAAACTCCACGACCTTCCCAGGCAGCGCCCACTCTCAGTGTAAAAAACTTCATTGTGTTGATGTGAAACTTCTCATGTTTTAGTTTATGGCCACTACTCCTCATTCTGTTGCTGAACACCACCAAAAAGAGTCTGGCACCATCCTCTTAACACCTGGACTGTCATGTACTGGGAGACCAAAGCTGGGAGCTGGGTGTGTGCCAAATTCAGTACCGCAGCTTCTGACAAGATCAGAGTAGCAAAGATGGGGGCACTGCTGTGGCCATCTCCAGAACCAGCCCAAGGTATCCAAGCTGCTGTTGTACTTCTCTCATAGCTCTAGTACAGATCCCTGTGACAAAGCTGACCACATGGTGCCAGAGCTGCAGAGTGCTGTGTCCAGATCTACAAGGGCGGCCCAGTAAAATGCCAAGAATGTGAAACATTGGCATTAATTTTGCCTTGTTGCAAAACCAACAAATGGGCTGAACATTACACATAATTACTATGTGTATTAATTGGATAACATTTCTCTTAAAAAAACCCCAAACCCGAAGAGTTTAGGTATTTGACAGGCCTTGGTGGAACTGAGAAACAACTTGGTCAGGGTTGTATGAAAATATAATTACTGCATTTTCTGTACTTCTTCCAACATATTCATGAGACTTCATATTCTCATAGCATCCTATTGCTGTTGGGATACTTTTGTTACATGTCTGACTAATTTATTCTTTCCACTTCTTCATCATGCCCATTCTGAGACTGAATGGAGTAAGAACCTTCTTAATTGCATTACTTAGTAGTGACAACTTCTTTTAAAGACCACAGGTCCACAGTGGTTCTTAAAAACCTGTCAGATATTTTGAGTACCAGGCATTATTGGGTACCAGGCACATTAATCACTCTACATCCTTCTCCTAACATAAATTCAGTGTCCAAGAGGAAACATCTATCTATACCTTTTTTTCTTGTTGCTCTTATGCAGCATCCTGGTCTGTTTAACACTCACAATGTGGAGATCAGAAGCTGCAGATAGTCTCATCTTTATTCATTAATGCTCTGAACAGTCATGTTTTGATCCACCCACACATCACCTGCTCTTTCTCCCTCTCATGAGTGGCTTCTCGGTATAAACTGATGCATACTGCTGGACTGAGGAGACGATTCCATGTTATTTTTCTTTTTGGTATTCTTCAATCAGGTCCTGATCACTGTTGTTTAGCCAAACCAAATCTCTATAAATACTAATCCTGGCCATCAGTATGAGCTGAACAGTTTTTCCCATTCATTGGATTAATACTAGGAAAGAAGAGTGACTTGGGACAAAAGTGAGCACTGAACAATCAGTTTTCTGGCTATCATAAATTTAGTGGAAAGTCCACAAATGTTAGAAAACATGATGGGCTGCATTTTGCAGATGCTAAGGTTGTTTAATCTAGGATGCTGGTGTCTTTGTCAGTTTTTTGTTTACAAGGGTTTATTACTCCATTATTGCATTTTGTAAAGTAAGAGACTACACACAGCATTACATGGTAATAGCAATTGTGTTTGTACAAGCTTAAGCTGGCTGCTCTTGGAGTAATCCAGGGAATCCAAGCACAGAACCAGTGCTCTGAACCCCATTCCTGGGCCTAACATCCCTGGACAGGTAAGTTGCACACCTGCCTCCAAGTGGGACTTACCCTTGAACAAGAAATCTAAATCAGCCAACAGGGAAATATCAAGATGGGGATTTTTTGTTGAGGCATGGTTTTAGCTCCACTTCAGATAGATATATAGCCAGGCACTTGTATATGAATCAACATGCAAGTCACTTCTTTCAAAATTAAAAAGTACAGCTTGTTCTATTTATCAGTGTGCAAGTGTTATTTGTTAGATAATAACACAGTATATAATAGTGCTTCCACTGATGACAGAGTATGTTGACCCCAGAACACTCATCTTGAGTTAGTAGTACCTGAACACAGCTGAAGACTCATGCATTATTTCTGGTCTAGTAACAGTCTGGTAACTGTGATCACTGGGACACTGTCTTAGCGGAAGCAACTGAGAGGTCACGTTTACAGAGGCAAACAAAAACCCAAGCCAGGCTGCCCTGTGCTGGCAGGCTATTGCCCACACTCCCGGGACGCCAGCACGCTCCCTGGCATGGTTTGGCCGTGGCTCTCAGCACAGCGCCTCGCTGCAGGCCGGGGGAGACTGTGCCAGCACTGCTCCGTCACGTCTCTTCCGCCCTGAAAGGGTGAACTCCCACAGCACTAAATTAACGTGGAATGGTGTAACGGAGAGGGCAAAGAAAAACACCATCTACTCTCCCACTGCTGTTCGAGCGGTGGCTGCTGCCGTCCTGCGCAGTCCTAGCGGGAGGAAGGGAGGGAGAAGAAGAGGGAAGGAGGGAGAGAGGGAGCTCGGCGCCGCGGGCAGAGCCGCGCTTTCTCCGCGGGCTGCGCAGACCGAGCGCACCGCGGTGCCAAGGCCGACATTCTGGCGGCTCTTCGCAGGAGCGGCATTTCGACACCACAGGCCGAAAGTTCTGCTGCGGGAGGTGTGGCGGGGGCGGCCCACGGCGAAGGCTCGGCGTAACAGCGAGGGACAGAGTCGAGCAGAGGAGGCTCTCCCTGCCCCTCCCTCGGTCCCTGCCTCTCCCTCACTCCCTGCCGCAAGAAGCGCTAAAGCCTGAGGCGGGACGGGAGGGCACCGTGCTCCACGGCACTGCGCATGTGCCAGCCCGCGCCCCCCGCGCCAGGACCCTAAATGTCCGCTCGGGCTTCACCGCCTCAGATTCGCGGTGTGCTCGCAGCGCCCGCCCTGCCCTTCTTCCGGCTCTGGCTTCACTCGGTGGGCGGGGCCAGCGCTTTCCCGGGCCGCGATCTGTGCTGCTCTCGCGAGAGCTCCCCCTTTTCCTGGCCGGCGCGGAGCGAGGTAGGTGCCCGGGCCAGGGCCGCCGTTCCCCCGCCGGGGCAGCCGTGATACGCGGCCGGGAGTGGAGCGGAGCTTCCCACGGCACCGTGGCGTCGGGATGCGCCCGATTACCGCCAGCCCGGGGCCCGATGGCCGCCGGGGCGCCCGGGGCCGGGGGTGGCCAGCCGGCGGGGTTTCCCTCCTCCCTCGGCCGGCGGCGCCCTGCGGGAGGAGGGGCCGGGGCCGGGAGCAGGCCCGGGAGTGCCGCTCGCTCGTGGAGCCGCTCGTGGGGCTCTGTGCGTGGTGGGGCCGCTTCCCCGGGCTGCCGGGGCCTTGCAGCGGGGCCCGAGGTGGGCAGGCCCCGCGCTCCTTGGGACCCTTTTCCTGTGGCCTGGTAGTCACCCCTGGTGCGGCGTGCTGGGGCTGGCCCGGCCCGTGGGGCGGCTTCTGGCTTGGTTCTGGAGCGTGTGGCTGCGCAGGCGGATTGGGGAGTCCTGGCTGTGTTTGGAACAGGTGACACGTGCTTGGTGACAGCCAAAGTGTTCTTTTGCGTTGCAGAAAGGCCATGTTCAGCTCTAGCGCCAAGATTGTGAAGCCTAATGGCGAAAAGCCAGATGAATTCGAGTCTGGTATATCCCAGGTACGTGGCTTTTCCTTGTTGTCTTCGGTAACTCACTTCAAGTTACGGACATAGTTGTCCAGACCCTAAACTTTGAGGTTAATCCTACCAACGTGTTTTCTTTCCTAGTTTTACTTGGGAACTGAGTCCTCCTCTGTTTCCATTCGTTAAACTTGTTGGATGTTAGTGTGTCTTACAGGAAGTTAAGTCTTCGATACTGGCTGTGGTTAAAAGTCTATACCTGCTTTTTGGCACTGTGGACACACTTTGGTCTCAGGTGTTCTCATGAACTGAGGTGTATGTAATGGATTATTCCACAACTTCACTTTTGTAGGCTCTGCTGGAGTTGGAAATGAACTCCGACTTAAAGGCTCAGCTGCGGGAGTTGAACATCACAGCAGCTAAGGTAGGCTGGACATTCTCCACTAAGAGCTGGGTGGTGACTTGTTCTGTGTATGTTTAATTTTTGTGCATATTAATGTACTAGGTGAATGGTGACTTAAGCCCTTGTGGCCTGTGATAGTTTTGTTATGTGCTGTTGTAGCTTATCTTCTGGTATTTGCTGCTAGTGTGTAGGATTCTGTAATAGTGTTTTTCTTAGGAACTAGTTTGAAAAGTCACTGTAAAAGCCCAAATAGCAATTTAGTATGTTAAATAAAAGCGTTGACAACGATGATTCTACTTTGTCTCTGCAGGCTGGGTTTGGGGTGTGAAACTGGCTTTTTGCATGTAGATACTGGCTGGAAAAGTAGGTGTTACAGAAACTTAAAAACATAAACTGCAATACTCTTCATAAAAAACAAAATTGTCTGAATCTCTTATGTGCAGTTAGTAGGTGGATTGAGGCAATAGACTGACTTGGTAGTGTAGCTTAGCCTCCTTGTACATTTCCAGTTTTAGATCATGCAGGCAGCTGAAACATCAAGAAAGAAAAAGAAGAAAGCAATTAGTGGAAAAGGAGAAAGAAAGCTAGTGTTAGAATTTGTCAGCCTGGGAGACTGCATGGCAGCAATGAAGCAGGTCACTGCAATCAGAAACTTAATTGGGCTGCCTTTGGTTTTTGCCCAGGCTTACCTGTACAGACACAGGAGCCTGACTGCTTAGAGGTAAGTTAAAAAGAATCTGGGAATGCAGAAAGCATCATGTATCATGTATGAGTTGAATGGCCTTCAGAAGAAACCACATCTCTGGAAGTACAGCAATGCCACCTGTCCTTAGTGAAATGCTTTTAGAAAAGTCTTTGTTGTTTACTTAGCTGCTTGATTTTATTTGTGAGAAATCTTTCATGGGCATCTGAGTTGGCTCATATCAGAAGGTAGCTGGTGAAGAGCAATCCATCCTTCCATTCTGTTGGAGAATGAGGATGTGTCTGCAGCCAGTTTCATGGGAGAAGTGCCTTGTAAGCCTATGCAGACTTTGGGTTTCAACTACTGGAGAGACAAACCAGGGGAGAAGTAACCTGTCCTAGTGTGTTGTAGTCCTGTTGGTATTTGAAGGGGTGACAAATGTTTTGATTGAATAGGGATGCAGTCCTAGGCAAGTGGCTGACAAAAGTGATTTCCATGAAGCAGTAGATTAAGAGATTTGTTCCCCTAAACTTTGTCTGGAGTCTGCATTAGAGGCAACTAATTTTTGAAACTTTGTATTAGCACAAATGCAGAAGGGATAGTAAACACTCAGTAGAGTTGCAGTTCTAGCACCTGAGTCTCGCCTTTCAGAAGGAATGGGATTTGCTGTTCAGAGGATGTGATTCTGAAAGGGGTGGTGGGATTTATTGCCCAGTCACTCCTCCACAGTGAAACAAGTACTCTGATTGAAGTTTTTCTGTCAGTGCATTGTCTGTACAGCATTAAGGCAGGTACTGCTCTCTGATGCACTCCCTGCCCCACGGAGTCAGAAGCAAGACTATCAATACCTGTGCTCAGGATTCATGGTCAAACCAACCATTACTTTTCAACCCCCAGCTAATGCTTACTTTGTACTTTTATTTCAGGAAATTGAAGTAGGTGGTGGCAGAAAAGCCATCATTATCTTTGTACCAGTTCCTCAGCTGAAGTCCTTCCAGAAGATTCAGGTGCGGCTAGTTCGGGAGCTGGAGAAGAAATTTAGTGGAAAACATGTGGTGTTCATTGCTCAGGTAAAAAACCCCTTAGAATCACAAAAATGTTGACTTGAAGGTGTATCTGGAGGTGATCTAGTCCAGGCTCCCACATGTGTCAGTTGTGAATTACCCATCCAAGGTAACAGTGATAGTAATTCATTGTACCAGCAGGAAATGTAATGAGTGTCTGGTGGGTGTTAGCTAAAATGTTTTCAGCTGGCAGCAGTGGAAACTTGGTGAGATGTAAAGTTGTTTCATGGAGAATATAACCTTCTGGCCACTCTTACTTCTTCAGAAGTTTGACACACAAAGCTTTAAATAAAAGGGAGCAAATATTAATAGGAACTTTGCTACACTTGGACAATCTAGGCACTTAAAATTTAAATTACTAGGAAAGGAGGGAAAAAAACTTGTGCAAGTTCTAAATATATGGCAGGATCTAAGGTGAAAAGGTGTTGGAGGGATCTCTGGGCAGTACTTAAGGACTTAAGGGTTGGACAAACTAGGGACCTGTCTGCAGAGTGGAAAATTGGTTAAAATGAAGCTAGCTGAAAATTTTTAATGCAATTCTTAGAGCCAGAGCACCTTACCCTGAGTCTTTATATGACCAAGAGGATTTATTTTAATGAAGTGCCTCTGGTTCACTTCACCTAAAGGTTCTTGACCTAGAGGGTGGTTGGGCACTGGAACAGGTTCCCCTAGGAATTGGTCACAGCACAAAGTGCTGTGAGGTGTTTCTGCAATACTTTCTGGCATATGGTGTGACTTGGGATGTTCTGTGCAGGGCCAGCAGCTGGACTCGATGGTCCTTGTCGGTCTCTTCCAACTCAGCATATTCAGTGATTTTTTTAGATTCTGTGATTCTGTAATCCCTTGAGAATTCCTTATCAATTCAGTAATCTATTTTAGAAGGGAACATGTGATTTTGAGTATGACATGACCCAATTTGGGTAATGGTAGCCCCATCATGAATACAGTTATGGAGAAGCTGTGATGTGATGGTAGAAAATACTGCAGGTGGCTAAAACTGCATCTAGAACATTGTAAAATGTCTACACTTGCAGTAGGAAAATAGAAAATAAGTTTTACTGACCTAACATTTAGATCCTAATTTTGGAACAGGTAATATTTACGCTGGGATTTGATCTGGACTGTGCAATAGATTTTACTGTTAAAACTAGAATTTCAATCTCAGATGTCACCTTGCTGTCTGTGGAACTGAGCTCACTACTCTGGTTTGCACCAGAGGCTCAGTCTGACAGAAGTTTAAAATTCCATGGGATTTCTGTTCCCAAAGAAGTGTGTTCACAGTGCTCATGAGACACAGTAAAATACTGTGGTTGTATTCCTGGAGAGAGGAGATGAAGTACAAGTCTTCTATTTCAGTGCCCTGAATACAGGAGTAGTAATTGAGAAATACAGCAGTACAGCACTGCCCCTTCTGCAGACAACTCTAGTTCTCTAGTTTCTAATGACGATGTAACTTTCAGCATACTTAAGTCTACCTTTTTGGCTTTTCATGCATTGGTTTCTAGTGTGAGGGGAAAAGGTGCATATTTCTGAGTTCATTGTAACCACCAGATACTGAGAAATGCCTTTTTTGTTCTTCTCTTGCCTTAACAGAGAAGGATTCTGCCCAAGCCAACAAGAAAAAGCCGCACAAAAAACAAGCAAAAGCGTCCGAGAAGGTTGGTAAATGACACTGATGTGGTATGACAGCCTTCTTTTGTACTCGGTAGTTTAGTCAAGAAATGGTTAGTTGAGTTTTTGAGAAGTCATTCAAGTGATTGGCTGGTCTTGTCCTTTCTCCTACTTCTTGAAATACTGCTTTGTATCTGTCATTTGACTGCTAAAGTGTTCAGTAGAAAGGTCACCTTTGGGCACTGTGTTGCATTTCTTAGCACTCAATTTGTATTTCCAGCTACAGCTGTAGCAAATTTTTAGTTGTCAGTGCTAGCTTAAGGAACCCAACCTGCTGTCTCTGTTACCACAGTGTGCTGACAAGAACTATTTTCTTTCAAGTTGTAGGAAGAGCCTCTTCCACATCACATGTTAGACTGTGTGCAGAAGTCAAGGCTGGCACACTGAAGGGGATGCAATGAGGGAGAGAGTGGCTGAGGAGGGGTGTAGGTACGAGTACTAGTCCCTCTGGATATGAATTCGATAGCAATAGTATAGTCATTTGTGTTAAATGGCCTCCCTGCTCTCATCTAGTCACTGGATTGCTAGACATGCAACACTGCTACGTCTCTGTGGATGTCAGTGCCTCATCTGTATGTTGCTATGTCATTATGTAAGTCCGTGTCTTAAAAGTTTGTCCTCCTTATGACATGTGGCATGTCATGTAGCTTCTCCCTGCCCCCCCAGTATTATACTTGTGTCATGTGTTACTGTATTTTGCCGTCTTCAGGCACGGATTTTAAAAGTACAGTTTCACAATATTCATCTAGCTGCAGTCCTGCCTTTGGAAGACTCTGCCTGTGTTCTTTTGAAACTAGCACTGCACGGTGGTTAGAGAAGTTAGCATTTGTGTCTGAGTAGCACGCTGCCACTTTCTGCATGAGGAAAGGCCAGTGTGCAGGACTGCCCCTGTCTCAGCCTGAGATATTGTTGTGGATGTCTGTCTCCCTTTGCTATGCCAGTGTGGGCAGGTGTGAAGTGCTGCCGTAGACACAGGTGTTAGTTACTAGTGATACTGCCCTGAAACTCTGGATCAGGATGCTGCAGACATAGTAATCCATCTAGACTCAGTAAAATAACCTGGGCCACCTTTTCTCGTGTTGGCTCACTTCTGGACAGTTCAGGAACACACATGTAGATTTCAAACAGTCCTGTAAGTATGGACTCAATTGACCAGCTAGTCTTTTTCTGTATTACATTGGTCTTCTAAGCTTCTTGGATTTAGGCAGATGAAGAAATCAAGTGTTTCCAAAACTGAGTCACCCATGAATGTACTCTGCAGCTGAGGATACTTATCCGCTTAAACTTTTCCAGTCAGTGTCTCTGGCAGAGTGGTAGATGGAGCACTTTGGTTTTGATTTAAATATTTATTAAATGTGTAGAAATAGAAGTATGTTTTAGGGCTCTTGCCGCAAATCAGTGTGTGATCTAGAAGGTCAGAAACCTGGCTACTTTTTCTTGTGCAGTCATTAAGTTTCTGCACTCTGTAGCATTTATCTTTTCTTTTTGCATGCCCTCTGATAGTGCTGTATTGTCACACTGTGGCATTAAAGACAGAAAACGCCTCTGAATTTTCAGCCAAAGCATGCTATGGAAGATTTAAATCTTGTCAAACTGGAAATTTTCCAAGAGGATGTGTTTTAACGCTATAAATGTGGCATTTCAGCCGTACACTTACTGCAGTGCACGATGCTATTCTTGAGGACCTGGTCTTCCCCAGTGAAATCGTGGGCAAGAGAATCCGCGTGAAACTGGACGGCAGCAGGCTTATAAAAGTCCATCTGGACAAAGCACAACAGAACAATGTTGAACACAAGGTAAATAAAAAAACTCACTTTCTCATGCAGGTGGGGATGGCATTCTGACATCCCCGAGAGACTGCTTGGGGATACAGGAAAAGACTCGCCTTTTGGCTTGTGGAGATGCTTTGGTTTGTATTTGGAGTAAGGTGCTGAAATAGAGGCAAGACAGTTTTGAACTAAAGCTCTAGTTCAACTTGTTGAAGCCCCTGGATTATAAGGTAGCTATATTGGTTCCCTCATGGGACCAGACAGTGTTTTACTGGGTTTTTTTGTATGAATAGGGGTTGTTTGGGTTGGTTGGTTGGTTTATGTTTTTGTTGTTTTTCAAGTGAAGCATTTAATTTTGACCTTAAACAGATGTGCTCGGTAAAGCCTGCACTTCACTTGTTTTTTTTCTGAAATGGGAGGCTTGTGTTTGGGCCTGCTCAGCTTTTAGGGTCTCACATTGTTGAAAATCAGAGAGAGCCCAAATACTCTAGAGGAAATGTATCTTTTGTGTAAATCTCAGCTACCTTAATCTAGAAGAAAATAATTGGCCTCAGAGTGAAGATAGACTGGCAAATAGTATAGTACCTTAAGTATGTTAACTTAGAGTTACTTGTTTACACAGCATGTATAAGCAAGATTTATTTGTCTTCACAGGTGGAAACATTTTCTGGTGTGTACAAGAAGCTCACAGGCAAAGATGTGGTGTTTGAATTTCCAGAATTCCAGCTGTAAAATGCAAAAAATGGCTGAATAAACAACTATTCATATAACAGAGTAATTTAATTTAAATTTTGAATTCCATAAACACAGATGAGGATTAACTGGTTCATGGGACTTCTCCGCTGTCTGGAGAGTGATACCTGTGAATCAAAGTATTAACTCCCCAGCTACCATTTTAATGGTAGCCTTCTTAGGTTTTTCTTGGCACTGTTGCAACACAACTGGACAAAAAGAGTCCAGGGCCTGCAAAAAGAATTCATACTGAAGAACCTAAGCATTCCAAATCTCAACTGGGGAAAATATGGAGAATTACTGTAGAGCAGTGGAACTCCTGAGTTTCGCACACAAGATATCAGTTGGAGACCTACATGTTCCTGACCCTGGAAGAAGTCAACTAGCAGGTGGTGTGTGACTTAAGAAATGTGTAGAAATGACATCTGCACAAGGGGTTTGAATTCTTAGGAAATAGGTTGGGGGAGGTATAGGTTGATTTTTGAGGTAACTCAACTTGCTCTAAATGGCAACATTCCTCACCAGTTCTTACCTAAAAGCAGGCTCTGTAGCTTCTCACCTTTCAGACTGGGTGGAAGGAATGGGAAGGAATTTTTACTTTTGAGTGCTTGACTGTATCACTGGACAAAAACTATGGATTTTTTAGGCATTGATCTTGCTTTCAGAAATATTTTTTTATATTATGTTTTAACATGGTTCTGTACGTGCTCAGTGATACAGGGAGAGACGGGGAAGAACTTAGATGCATCAGCATCCGAAGGCTGATAGTGTCTCAGAAACACTACACTTTTGACTTCAGTATCTGTGTTAAAGAACCCTTTACACAAGCTCAGGGTGGTGTTGGTCATTTAAAGTTCTGAGCTAATTACATTAATTTAGTACCTGATTTTGCTAAATGTAGTATTTGGAGTAAGTGTTTATTTTATCACAGTAGAAGACAACTAATTTTGGAATCAGTCTGATACGTGGAGAGCTAAGTTGGGAATAAGTTGTGTGACAGGAGCACTTAGTAACTTGCATTTTTCTACCTGAGAGTAGATGGAGGACAAGTACCACTCACTGAGGGTCTTTGTACCTTTACTTCCCTTTTCCATTTACAGTAGTTTTGACTGCTTCCCATTTGACACCTCTTTAGCTATGGAGAGCTAAAAGGTTAAAACAAGTTCTGCATTGTTTTTGCATTGAGAAAATGAAGACTTTAAAATTTAAGCATGACTTAGTAGGGCAGGACAGATAGCCCTGTGCTGTTACTGTTGGTGCCAGGAATGCAAAGAGAAGGAAAACGTGCCCTGTTGCAATTAGTAGTTAATTTCCTGTTACTTGCTGACAAGGCTTGAGTATTTGCACAAAAAGCAGGCTGTATCTTTGAAGAAGTTTGTTTACCTTAAGGCCTTTTCCTGTCTCCTTTCCAAACTTCTGTCTCTGGAGTATAACTTAATTCCTTATTTATTCCTTGACTACTTATTGTTCATCTTGAATGATTCAGCAGAAGTGAGTGCATCAGCTTCCCTTAGAATTAGATGAGAGGAGTTGGCAGGTATATAATAACCCCAAATTCTGTCTGTTTGTGTGGAGAATAATTGTAAAAGATCTTACAGTAGAGGACCCATAACTTTTGAATTCAAGTTTTCATTGCAAAAATGGGTATTACTCAGATTGGAAATGCCACCTTGTCTAGTCCCCCAAAAATACAGTCTTGAGTCAGACACATTACTAAGTTTTCCTCTAAAACAGTCACAGATGGCAGCCTGTGGAAGTAGACATTGGCTGGTGTGGGCTGAAGAAGCAGCTTGGGGAGTATTTGGAGACTTACCAGATGTTAACTACCTTTAGTTAAAGGCTGGTGAGTCTGCTGGGGCTGTGTAACCTCTGCAAGGAGAGGTGATCCTCAGCAGGCTTTGCTAGACAGCATTTCCTGCTTTATAGGGAAATGTAACTCAGGTTTCATCTCTTCATAGTAATAAAAATGTCAGTTGAGTTTCTTTTGAAGCACTGGGAGGGGGTGAGCGGGGGAGGATAAATCCAGTAAACTGAACAGAAAGATTGCAAACGTTCCCAGGCATTGCCAGCTGGCTATAGATTTTTCTTGGCTCTTGTTGCAAGCCCTCTTGAACTATATGATATGCAAAGGCTCATGATGGCCCCATAAGCAAATTCTTTGAGGGAAAGGATAACACTGTCAAAGCTCTATGGCTTTTACATCAATTAAACTACAAGGAGAGGTGAATTTTTGTGGCATAAAAATACAAGGCTGTGTGCTTGCAAAAGACTTTAGTCTTAGTTTACCTCTATTTACAGACTCCCTCGTGTGTTTGTGTCAGTGATACAGTCAGACAACTCCCTCTGTCCCTTGACAAGCATACTAAGTGCATGCCTGCAATCTGGAAAGTCAGTTTGATGCCATCTGGTCAAGTGCTAATGAGGCTGCTGGAATGCTGGTGTCAAATGTTACCTTAACCTAAGCAAACTCCATGTGAGATGATGCTAGACTTTTCCTATACCTTTCACATGCTGGCACAGTTGAACTCTGAACATGCGATTGGTCACAAGTTCTATCAGCTGCTCTGGGTGAAAGAGTGGTGGGGCATTATGTACCAAGACTGCAGCAATAATATGTGGGTGCTACCAATGTGCAAAGACAGTCATATACTGAAGTTCTTTCCTGTAGTAGCTCCAAATGAGAAGCAAGGGCTTTACATCTGTTAATTGCTCATGAGACATTCACCTGATCTTAAAGCTTCAATTATTTATTTCATATGAATCCTTTCACAATGTCTTCAAATATTTTTGCCTATGAGGAGGTCTGATCCCTGGTGATTTTTCTTCAGAAAGGTATACAGATGTGTCACAATTGTAGTGTAACAGAACTTGCCTGAAGTTTTGGGTGGTAAGTGCTTGACCTATCTTTTATTAATAGGGTAACTTGGTATATGATAACATCATATCTGAGTAGCCCCTCTTGAGTGTAAATGGGAACAGCTGGTGAGTTTCAGTGTATGATCTCATGCCAAGCAGCATTCAAAGGTAATCCCATCACTTCTGCATTGTGGACTGAAATAATTAATTTCCTATTCCTTTGTTTTTCCTGAATTTTCCAAGTGATAGGCCTGAGTTTGATTCGCAATTACATCTGAAGGTCAGAGCAATGCTGAAAAGCTACACCTTCTCCAGTTTGTGGGATGTGCTATCTAGGCCACTGGACGTTTATCAGAATGACAGAAAAAAAGATGGCGATTACAGAAAGTTATGAAGGCTCATAAAATGAAGGTTGGTGGAGAGGCTTAGGGAGTGTGAGTTTGCCTGTCTCCAGTAGGGGCTGACTGCAGCACTGATCAGTGTGAATAATTCACTGCTCTTTAACAAAGTGCCTTTACCCTGCCCCTTGCTGCCTGCCTTAAGGGTGCTCCTGTGAAAACTCTGCTGACATGAACATCTATGTACTAGTGCTCTGTTCCCTACAGAGATGCAAGTAGAGGATCTTATTTATGTATTACCATCAAGAGGAGAAAGTTTGTTAAGTTTATGAGTTCATGTCTCTTCTACCTTCCAGTTACTCTTTCTTATTTTCAGGAATATCATTCTTAAGCTTAGTGTCATGCAGTTGCTACTTGGTGTTGTTAAATGATTAGTAGATAACACTTCTAATTATTGCCTATTGAGTTAACATGTGTGGCTCAGTTGTGATCTGCCCCTGGAGCAGCAAAAATAGAATTAAATCCAAGCACTGAGGAGATTATTCTAGTTTTAGAGATGACTGACAGAGCACAATTGCTGCAGTAAATGCTGCTTAAAAATTTTTATGCAAAAAAAAAATAGTTCAACATTGCTAATAAAGTAGAAGGCCAGGTTTTACACAGTTACAAATAAAATTAATAATGTGTTGGTGTGGCCACACTGATCTTTGCCACCTTACTTCTCATGTACTGCACAGAAGAGGTGGGAAGGAGAGCTTTGCTCTCTGCCCACAGAGATGCTGGGGCAGTGCTGACGAGATATTCAGATGGATATCTTCACAGGGACAGATCTACAGGCTGTGTTTTACCAGGACTGTCTTAACACTTAATAAAGTTGTTTCCTATTTTCTTGGCTAAACAGATACTGTTCTGTGAAGCAAAGGGAATAGGACACATCATTGTGCTGCCCTGAGAGCAGAGGAGGGGTTGCACTTGGCATGCTTGTGTGCATGTCTGTACCGTGGAGGAGTCCTGTATCTGCTCTATCTCCTTGCCACTTTTTGGAGTTTCTTGGGGGTGTCCTGGGAGGCCTAATAAGGGCTTCTTACTGAGTCAGCTCTTACTTTCAATAACTAGAACAGCATTTGTGATGCCTGCAATAAACGGAGCTCCTGCAACTGATCTCAGATACTGATTTTTTTAAAGAGTTTGGGTATTTGAAATTTTAATCCTTTGGAAAAATCTGATTGGGAAATGCTGATACCATTGGATGCTTTGCTAAACCAAAAGGAAAATCGGAGCCTTGTCATCATCTCTTAAGATTTTTTAATAACCATTGTGTTTTAAATAGGTGTTGTGTTTAATCCTCTTACAGATACAAAGATAATGCAAACTGACAATGCAAAGTGTAGAAAAATTTTCCTGGATGCTCCTAAAATGTATTAGCGTATTTTTTCCTGTTTTCTAAGAACTTTTTATTGTCCTTTTACAACCAGTTGGATTTTATCTGCATGGTTTTGATTTGGTTTGAATCCAAGAATTCCATTTGTAGTTGTGTCAATGTGGTATTTACCCTGAATTTAGAGGTTGAAGAAAAATTGTGTAGTGGATCAAGCTGAAGTAGCTGGCCCAACTGGTGTCTTGCTGTATAGAAACATAAAATGGTTTGGGTTTCAAGGGACCTTAAGGATAATCTACTCTAGCCCTCCCTGCTGGCTAGCACCTTCCTCTAGAATAAGATTGTTTAAAGCCCCATCCAACCTGGCCTTGAGCATCTCCAGGCATGGGGCATCCACAGCTTCTCTGGGAAGCCTGTTCCAGTGTCTGACCAGTCTCACAGTAAAGAATTCATAGTATCTAATATAAACCTGCCCTCTATCAGTTTGAAGCCTTTCTGCCTTGTCCTTGTAAAAAGTTCCTCTCTCAAGGGCTATATGTCCTCGTAAAAAATCCTCTCCAGCTTTCTTTTAGCCCTACACCCCTTTAGGTAATGGAAGGTGCTCTAAGGTCTCTCGGGAGCCTTCTCTAGGCTGAAGAAGCCTGACCCTTTCAGCCTGTATTCATTAGAAAGGTTCTCCAGCCCAGCTCTGATCATGTTCATTAGCACTCCTCTGGACTCATTCCAAAAGGTCCACATTTTTCTTATGTTGAGGGTCTCAGAGCTGGATGCAGCAGAGCAGGTAGGCGCTCATGAGAGAGGAGTAGAGGGACAGAGCCACTTCCCTCAACCTGCTGGCAATGCTACTTTTGATGAAGGCCAGGATGTGGTTGGATTTCTGGGCTGCAAGGGCACTTGGCTGGCTCACACTAAGCTGCTCATCAGCCAACAAGTTCTTCTCAGGGCTGTTCTTGGTCCATTCTCTGCCCAGTCTGTATTTATGCTTGGGATTGCCTGCCCCAACCCAAGTGCACTTGGTGTTGTTGAACTTCATGAGGTTTGCACAAGCCCATCTCTTGAGCCTGTCAAAAGAGTCTCCTGTTTCCTTGCAGAGAGGACTCACATTTTCCTTAGTATTCCTTTAAACACTGATGTACCTGAAGAAGCTTTTCTTGTTGCCTTTGATGTCCCTGGCCAGATTTAATTCTCTCAGGGCAGGTTAGCTTTCCTAACACGTTCCCTTGTTGCTCAGACATCTCTACCCCTCCCAGGCTACCCATTCTTTCTTCCACCCACTTCAGGCTTCCTTTCTGTGTTTCAGTCTGTCCAGGAGCTCCTTTGTTCCTCTGTACTGCTGTACTGTGGTCTCTGGAGGCTGTCCCTCTCTCTCCAGCAAGGGTGGCTCAAACACTTGGGTATCCCAGACAGGCATGTTAATATAATAGAGAACTTAATAACCAGCAGCTATTCTGACCTGGTGATGACCTAAGCTGCTCCCACATGGTCCATGCATCAGTACCCCAGTTTGTGCATATTAGCCTGATTTAGATGATGCACCAATATGGCTGCACAGTTTCCAGTTGGATTTTGGGGTGGGAAAAGGTTACTTAAGCCCTTCTGTATGGGGACTATGCCTTTCTCTCTCATGTGAAAGAAAACCATGTGCTTGTTTATTCTCCCTTTTCTAGAGAAAGCTCTTTCACTGCATTTATAGTGTTTGCCCTTTCCTTTTGAACACTGGTCATTTATGTTTGTTTTCTTTTCTGCTTCCCCAGTGTTGAGTCCTACCTTTTCTACCAGCTTTCCCTGAATGTCTCTGTTTCTCCATTGAATTCTGTTTCTGGCCTCAAAGTTACTTTCCTGTGTTTACAGGGAGAGTAGATATGTATGTAAATGGAGTTGTCTTTGCCATGGTAATATGATCTTCAAAGGCTTGGACTACAGTCACTTTGCTGCATTCTTTACATAAAATGTTTGTCTTGGCAAGTTTCTGCCAACAGAGTGCTGCAAGGGCCCAGTCCTGCTAATTGCCTTCTGCTCCCACTGAACTGATGGGGCCTGTGTGCATAGAAAATGAACTTTAAAATTAGAGTTGCATGGTCCTTAGACAGTTATGTTCATGTTCTACCATTTTGCCCTTTCTTTACTGAGGTAATCTATTGAGGAAGAGATCATTGGCTCTTAACTTTTCGTGACCATTTGGTGTGTGTGAAAATACTGGAGTTCATAGCAGTGGAGGAGGGTAGCTAGGTTCCAGTCCAACATGGAAACCTCTATGTAGGTAGTCCACAGGGAGTCCTAAGTTTGAGGCATCGCTACCTCTTTTTGTACCTGTTTTTCTCTTTGCCATTAAAGCTGATCAGTGTGTCCTCTGGGCTAACAAAACAGGAGCTGTCATGGGCAAGAAGGCTGCACACTCCAGGCTTAGGGAGAGGTTTGCTGGGAAAGAGGATATGTAACGTCAAGAGCAAAGCAGAAAGAGAGTACATCAGTACTCTCATCAGTGTCATCAGCTTGTACTGCAAGCCCCACCACAGCACAAAATTCTCAGTGGAGTGGATCTACACCTCAAAAGAGATCTGCAAAGTGATAAAGAAGTGAACACGCAGATGATTCTATTGCAGCTTTCTCTAGCCCCTCAGTCTAAAACCTTTTCTGTGTTCTGATACTTCCCATGTGGAAAATGGAAAGGAACCTCCTGCTACTGCCCTTAGCTCCTGCCCTAGTTTTCAAGGTCACATATTGGGGTTATCCAAGCTCCCAGCCCACTGGGTTCTTGCTTAGAGCATGACCCCTCAAATGTTACTACCTGGAAGAACTGGGAGGAGGGAACAGTGGCATGAGATGGATGGAGACAGATGATTCACAGGATTTTTTTTGTAGCTATCAGTCTTACAAATACAGCAGCTTTTCATCAGAGGGTATTAATTGATATAGTCACAAGTGGTACTCTCTATTGCCCTGGAAATGGAGAGTGAAGCCATTTATATCTGTTGAAGTATAAACTGCTGTAACTGAGGGGGTTGTTCTCAAAATTCCACTTTCCAGAATCAGCTGGCCCCAGTTTTTTGCCACTTGAATGTATATGGAGTACTGTGATTTATCCAGGCCTCAAACTAGTCTAGCTGTTTAAGGTAAAAACCAGGTTTGTACAACTATTTAGAAGCTGGAGTGAAATAGCACTAAAGTTGTATCAAAGGTGTTTAAAAAAACCCACAAAATATTGTGAAGATGCCTGCCATGTGGATAATTTAGCATTTACATTGTTGTGGGGTGTTCAGACACGGCTCTGAAACAGTTGCCTGTTTTAATAAAGTCAAGAATGGTGCAGCCAATTGCAAGCATAGAGAGAATTTCAGCAAGGGGAGAGTGTGTTAATTATCCACACAAGATGATCACATTCAGTGCTGCATTTCATGTGTTTTCATATCCACTGAAGCAAAGCAAGCGAAGTGTTGTGCTGGGGCAATGTGCATGCATGGCTTAGAGCTGAATAGATGTAAATGGTTAAAAAGGGGTTCTCTGCTAGAGAGGAGGAGGGGAAAGTAAATGTGCATTCCCAAAAAAGTACATTCCCAAAATAAAAAGCTTACATCATGGACCTCTTCAGTTTTCCCACACTTCTTCCCTAATTATTGTCCTGCAGGACAGCTGATCTTTTTCAAACAGGAAGCTGTTTACAGATAACACTTGCAACTGTTTTGTCTGATTTGTTG